ATATTCAGGTCTTAATCAAAAAGTCCTATATTACTTGATAACGATACGTATACTTGCGTAGTATCCCAATTTAAATATATATAAATTAAAAAGTTAAATTCTTATTTTTTTTCAAAATCAATTTTTTGGTTTTGTTGCAAAATAAGGAAATATAAGTGAAAAATACCATCAGAACTATTGCTATACTGTGCATAAGCATTAAGTATCCAGGGTTCAGTAGCCACCTCCCCTGACCTGGCTGGCAGGCCTAGTTGTTGGAAAACCCAAAACCGAGAAGCCCCTCGTTTGTTTAAAGCCAAATTGATCCCATCCAATGTGGCTCACTCCTATTTGTGAATTGCACCGCTCAACCCTCCACCTAAGCATCCTTCTCCACCTCATAGCTTGAACATTTAAGCCCTAATTCCATGGCTATAAATTGAACCCCTCTCACGACCAAATGAAGAGAGCTGTTAATTCCTTAGGGAGACCCCTTTACATTGCTTTCAAACCTTCCCCAAACTTTTCCAAGCTCATCCCAATCAAATTCTAGCCATCTCCCCCACAGTAAAACTCTAATTTCAAGCTTAAAATCTTGGGCTTTTTATATCACTCCACCAAACTCCACAACTTTGAAAATGATTATTACAAAAGCTTCCCTAGATCAAACGAGGAAGTTCCCCATCAAAATACCTCTCTCTCTCAAGAACTCCAACTCACTCCTAAACCAAACCCATGCCACCTATTAATCGAACTCATAGCCAGACCCTATTTCAGCTCAAATCAACACTTGAAAGATGTTTGTGGACTCAAAAAGAAGCTCAGGAACAAACACAATTGAGGCCTTACCTCATGGGCAAAGGTAAAATCCAAAATCCCTAAAATCTTGCTCGGTTTTACTAATTGTGAAGTGAACTTGTACTTAATATGCTTTTAACTGTATGAATATGTTCATCTTGCTTAGATGAAGCTATAGGATAAAATCGTGAGTGATTTGGTTGAGTATCGAGTGAGATCAGAGTGTTTTAGTGTGAACGGTTCTAAGTTTAAGTTAAATGGGGACGATGAACGGAAGTCATTCATTCACGCATGTATTGATCTAACGACAGAGGAAGAGTCAGACGAGGAGATGGAACATAAAGTGCGGGTTGAGTCGGTGTTGACGAGGAAGGCAACATCAAATAGGAGCGCGCCGCATGGACTTTCGGAGTTGACAAGGATTGCGTGGCCGCCGTGTGGATAAGTAGAAAAATCGGGCATTCTTAATTTACATTAATTATGAAACTTTAATAATTCATAACTTATTATAGAAAATTCATAAAAATAATATAAAATTACTCCTGTGCTCAGTGAACAGAGGAAAAAATTATGAACAAAAAATTAAAATTATTTGTTATATATTTTATTTTTAATTAATTAAATACCTTGTTTTAATTCTATTTAATTAAATATTAGTCAGCATGACTTGAAATTTGGAGGGTTTATCCTTCATGTGATTAGGGGTGTTCCCTGATTTTCCCAAAATCAGAGAATACCCCTAACCCTAAAAGCCCTAATTTTCAAGGTTAGTCATCTATTTTTTTATTTAAATAATTATATAAAATAAAACACAAATAAAAAAAATATAGAACTTACTTTGGTAGGTTCACTGTGGTCAGAGTGCCTTAGGAAAAATATAAAATGAGTTTAAATAATTAAGTGTATTATCTTTTATAATTACGTAACTAAAACTCATAAAAAAATAAGAAAATAAAATATAATTCAAGAAATCATGAAATTTGATCCACGGTGAAGAAAATGAACATATTAATCCTCTATAAAAATTTTATACCCATTTGAATTGAATTTTCATATCAAAACTTATTTTTCAAATAAAATAGAATTTTTGCAATAAAATAATCATGATAAATAAAATATAATTAAGAAAATTATGAAAAGTGATTTGAGGTGTTCCTTGTGACCAGGACACTCAAGAAAAATAAAATTTATGTTAAAATAAATGTTCAATTTTGAGCTAATTTTTAATTTAAAAATAATTAAAATCATAAAAATATAAAAATGCACCAACATGTCACAAATTATTCCCTGACCACTTGGGACCACATAAAATATTTTTCCTAGTTCTCTTAATATGATTATGTATTTTTAAATGCCTAAAATGTATTTTCCTTAATTTTACATTAAAATAATTACAATAAATAAAAGAATCACAAAAATGAAAAGTTTGTTTCTTTGGGTTTTCTAAACTCAGAGAAATTAAAGAAAAATATAAAAAAGTAATTTTTGAAATTAAAATATATTTTCTATTTAATTAATCATCAGAATCAGTAAATAATTATAATAATTAAAATAAAACTAAAAAAATTATGAAATTTTGTCCAAGTGGCAATTTGACCTAGGTAAACCTTCAATAATTTTCCTAAAGACAAAAAACTTTACTTTAATTAATCAAATGAATTAACATTGAAAATCCTTATTTTTGAGCTAAAATAATTATTTAAAATTAGATAAAAAACAGAAATTCATAGTTTCTTCTCAGCTATTTTAATTTACCCATGAGTGGGGTACTAAGAAAATTTTAAATTCATTTGAGTTGAATTTAAGGAGTTATGAAGTGGAGGGCCTTAAGGGCAAAATGATAATTATGGATTTTGAAGCCCTAATTAAATTTAGGTTAAGTCAAAGGGTAAATGGGTTGGCTCTGTGGAAACTAGTGATGATATAGATTTTTGTACACCTATATTATCTGTGGCATTTTTTATCTGTGGCATTTTTGCTAACCTTTTTTCTGCTCTAGCATAATGCACTTTAGACGGTTTGAAACATATTAAGTCGTAGACTATTTCAAATATAATGAATTTTTCATTTAATTGGAGTTGAATTCTGCATTATGGAATATTTTTCTTATGGAGAATGCAAACATTAAGTATTTTGATTTCGTTATGTATGTTGATTTATGTATTATTGATTCCCACTGATTTGTTTTTAACAACAGGGATGTCGTTATGGCAATTCTTGTTTCTTTTTGCATGATTATGGCTCTAGGATTTTGTCTGCTACTCCACCCAATAGCTGTTTTCAAGAAGATGAAGTTACGACTGGTTATTCTTTTCTTCAACTTCTGCCTTCAACTGTTGATGGTTGTGTGCTTGTGCTTAATGATAAAAATTTGCATTTTACACCAAATCTTTCGCAATGCCTAAGTCCGAAAAAGATATATGCTACAACAAGACATCAAGATTCTTCATGCATCAATGCTTTTCCAACTGGTGTCAGGGTACTATGGAATGTCATACGTCCATCTCAAATTATTATTGGAGCTAAAGGAGATACATTTATCCCTTGGAAAGAAATCCATTCAGTCTTATGGTTTGTTGATTATGAGGCTGAGCATTCAGATATTCTTGAATTGCAGAACTTCTTAGAGTTTCTTGCTGTTCGAATTTTGGCTGATAGCTTGACCAAACTTCGGCCAATTATCATAATGAACAACATCAGGTTTGCTCAGTGTCAGGTACTATTGCAGGCTTTATAGTTTTGTTGAGGACTAAGGATGTTAAACATCCATTAGTGTCAGTTTTTATTCTTATCCTCTCTACCTAGATATTAATAACATGCAATGCGAAGTTCATCATTCATTTTAGATGTGTACACTGCAGAATAATGAACAAATATGCTTTAACATCATTTTTCTGGGGAGCAAAGTGACAAAATAGCCTCTTGACCGTTTACATTGGCCCATTTTAGTCGCAGAGTATAAAATGGTCAAATTAATCCATAAACTTTAATTTCAGGCTGAAATAGTCCTCTTTGTAGACTATTTTACTATTTCAGCCCATATTGAAAAATTTTTAGGACTAACTTGACACTTTACACACCATGAAATTAAAATGACTCCCTGCAAAGAGTGAGAGAATTATTTTGACACTTTTCTCTTTTTTTGGGAATGCAATTAAATGATATTCATAAATGTTTGTTTTCTTTTTGGTTTGATAAGCTGATAGTTCTTGTAATTAGGGTAAGTTCTCACTATGTGAAATTAGGTTTTTGAAAGTGCCAATTGAAATTTTTAAGTTTAATCAAAATTAATGCTAGACAAAATGTCTCATTATATTAAAAAATTACAACAGAGGGTTTTTTTTTTCTTTTTTGTGAGAGCAGCAAGATAAAATACAACTAAGAAAATTTATCAAATGTTCTTTTAATAGATGGCCACAAATAATTTTATTGATACAATCATACAAAACTTTCTATGTACTGGAAAGATGGTAACAATCACGGTCAAAGACTTAACTTTAATACTTTTCACTATGTCAAGTGTTATGGTAGAAAGTTAGTTATATAGAATTGGTTAGGCAAAAGAAACGAAATGTTTAGATTTCAATGGAGAGTATTAAACCTGTACATATCAGGATATTGTTTAAATATAAAAGAGATAATGAAAGATGAAAAAGTCTATTTTAGAATTAACTAAATGAACCCTCTAATTTTAATAATGTGGTGAAATCTAATAGAAATTATTAAGTACCCAATTCATTGATACTATATCCTAAGATGCATATAAAAGAAAGTTTTAGGTCCATACTATTTGCCTATTGAGATAATAGTAGAATAAAAGAATACAATGAATTTTAATTTCTAAGGACTATTTATTTGGTTGTTAAATAATTGTGTTTTATTGCATGGATTCAGGATCCATATTTATTAATAACTTATCTGTTTTAATACATTAATATCATAAATAAACCTAAAAATATTTATTTAATAGAAAAACTAGATTAGAGTTATAGGTTGGCGACGTCATGATGGCATTAGGAGTTGGTTATGTTGTTCGTGGATGACAATAATGTTGGTGGCAAGTGTAAACCCGGGTGACATGAATTGTATAGAATTGTGGGAATCATTGTAGGATGGGCCATGTTGGCTTATGGTGGTGGCGTTGAGGGTTAGTTGTGACATTGTGGGACGTGGCTAGTGTTGAGGAACATGGGTAGCGTTGGAGGATGAGCATGCTCTTGTAAGATGGGATGTGTCAGTGGACTGGGGTGGCATTGTTGATGGGGTTTTTCTCGTACGGAACAATTGTCAAATTAAATTCATGTATTTGTTTTCATTTATACTCTTAATACTGAACCAAAAGAGCTAGTTGTCTACTATTGAGGTACCTAAGAGGAACAATGATTGAAAGCTCATGTTGAGCACAAGAGCAAGTGTGATTTAATGAATGTTATTGAAAATTGTTGGAGCCGTTATAAATTTGATCTATTATTTTATCTACTTTGAAATTGATTGATTTTTTCTTTTTATTTTTTTATTTGAACTGTTAGATATCAGATGATTGAAGGGAGAAGGGATTTTGAATGTAGAATGTGATTTTGTGAAGAAATTATGATAGGGATTTGTGTCATTTTCTCTTTCAGAAGGCTAAGCAGTGGCTTTGAGGAACAGCTCATAGCAAGTCGAAGGGAGTTTTGTTTACTGCTAATGAGAAAAAAGAAGAAAAGGGATTTTAGTTATTTGGGCATGTGCTATGTTGCATAATGAACAATGTTAACGACAGAAAGATCTGAAGTAAGAAGTGGACAAAAGTAACCTCATAACAGTATGTGAAATAAGGAGGCGTTTAAACTAAGTGTTGAGAATGTCAAAAAGAATGAATTCCGCAAGAATCATCTTACAAAGCTATGGTGGTGATGATGACATTTTAGACTAATTATAATTCATCATAAGCCATATCAAACCTTAGTTCAAACATGTTTCATCAGTTTCTTTGATATTTGTGATTTATCTTTCAATTTATGATGACAACATCGATACATCTTCCATGCTTTTTAAATAATTTGCCTGCACAACATATGACTGAACTGTTTTCAGGTTGAAAGGCTAGCCAGGGATTGTTTCTTTTTCCTCACCGAATCAGCTCCATTTGACGAGGCAAATTTTGGTAGTTTCTCAGATTCCTGTGGGATTGCAAGGCCGATGCAGGTCTGTAGACCAATCTGTTATGCTTTTGAAATGGTTCCTCCAACTGATATCCAATTTGGGGATTATGCTGCTGCCCTTCACATGGGTCTACACAATATTTAATGAAGCTGGTAATTCTCATTTCTTGTTAAGCCAAATTTGTATGTTTAAGTAGTTCTATAGGCATTTTGGATATGTTTATGCCCTAATTTTGTACAGGGAGTCCGCTTTTCTTGTCATTATTGGTGGCTTTACTCGTTAATTAAGTTAGGCTATCTGCCTCTAGGCTTCATTAGGTTAGCATGTTTGCGTGTGTATTTATATGTACTTTAAATTTTGATTAACGATGTTTATGTTATCAATAATCACTATTTATCTCATAAACATGTAATGGTGACATCAGAGTTGAGTTTAAGCTATTTTATATTGTTTTGTTTTGATTTAAATAGGCATATGGAGTTAATTTAGTAAAATATAAAAGCATGTAACACCGTTCTACGGTTCCTAGAGGCGTTTAGGAAATGGATGTAGCGGGGATGTAACGTCCGGGTTCCGTTATTTGGAGGGAGGAGTAATGAAGAATCGAAGAAGAGGGAACGAGAAGTTGAGGGAACCAAAGGAAAAGAAGAAGACCTGAATAGTCGGAATGCCAAAGGGGGAAGGTGAAATGAGAGGGTATATGCCGAAGATATTTTTTTTTATATAAATTCACTTGTAGATGAAAAGGTAGAGGCAAGTTAACTTACTTGTAGAGTCGAGAGAAGGGATGCTGCCGGAGGAGGCATGGTTGAGTAGAGGCGTGACTCTGGGGTTTTATCGTGACATCGTCGTAAGCAGAGGAGGCGAGATGAAAGTGATAAAGACTGGTTGTTGAGGAGGCCGAGCAAGGCAAGTTGAAGAAGGGACGTACGTGTGGTGTTGGATTGAGTCGCATTTAAAGTAATAGAGGCACCACCAGTGTTGTAGAGGAGAAAAAAGGGAGCTGAAGTCGAAGGAGGAAGCATCGAGGGAGCCTCTTGCATGCGGGTAAGGAGGATCTTGCGTGAACAAAGGTGAAGATCTCGCGTGGTTTAGGGCTCGACCATCAGTTATATATAATTAATTAATTAAAATTACTCGATGTAAAATAATAGAAATTTAATACTTAAATACGAGAAAGCTAATAGTTTATTAAAATAATAAATTAATTAAATTTTTTACCATATTGATACACCTTAAAATTACTTATTTTTAATATGCATTTAATGTTCATTTTATGCACAATTTTGATTATGTTGCACTTTAAATGAATGTATTTTGCATGTTTTTGATTTCAGGTACGATGAATGAAATATTTAGAGAAAACGAGGGTAAAATGGAGCAAAATGACACATCTTATGACACCATAACGCCAGCCTTTGGCGCCATAGCGTCAGTTTGAGGACGTGATGGGCGCCATAGCGCCCTAGAGTGGCGTCGTAGCGCCAGAAATGGTTTCTCTAGAAGATGCAATGAATTTAGATGAATTTTGAAGGGGTACTTGAAGTGACCCTTGGTTATTTTTAGTATTCTATTAAATAGGACCACTGGTGTTTAAAGAGGAGGCTCTAGAGGGTGCGTGAGTTCTTGGTGATGAGAGTGTGTGTAAAAGAGGAGAGTCTTTGATTCTGTAAGAAGATTTTGGAGACTGCCATGGGAACTTTAAGAATTTCTTGGGGAGAAGTCTAAGATACATATTTTGTTATTCGTATTTAAGTTTTTGTTGTTAAGGCTTGACTTTAAACATAAATCATGTGTTGTTGTGTTATCTCTATGAACTCTGAGTAGTTTTCTTTATTTTTCCTTATATATGGAAATTAATCATGTGGGATGAGAATGATTTGAAGATTTTTTTTATTTTAAATTTGTGATGGCAGTTTCACCCATTCTTCATTGAGTTTGCAAACTGGTACATAATGACTTGGGAGCGCTATGATTTCACCCAACTTGTGAATGCCACAGTCACCTTACGAGAAGGGCGACTACAATCTAAGGAGAGTGCAAATAAATAGGGAGATAAGTTTTGATGGGCATAGAATTGATGTTTCTAGGGTGACATGTTAGATTATTTTATCAATTCTGTCTTGAGTTTAGATCTAAGGGTCCCTAGTAGGTCATATAGAGAGGGCACAATGGGTAATCTTAAAGTGAGGGACTAGAATCTACTCAGCACTACTACATAAGCTGGAACAAACTTGAGATTAGCCAATGTTCTTTGCTAGCACTGAGAAGGGGGTAAAGAATGGGTATGCTCTTATTTGTCACAATACAACATTTTATATTTTTAAAACATTCAAATCCTACACTGATTACGATCTCTTTGAAAGAGGAAAGATCTTTTCATTATATTTGAACTCTTTTAAATCTTATTAGTTTAGAAAATTTGCACTTTCTTTCTGTTTAAAATTAGATTGCGCATAAGTTTAGTTTTATTCCTTCACAAATATTTCGACACTATCCTCCTATCATTTTTATCTGCAATTTAGATATAAGTTTTTCTAAGTCATTATAAAAAGTTACAGCTTCCCCGTGGGATCGATACTGAGATTTTTAAGGAAAAATTTATATTACTTGAAATGATATGTATATTTGTGTAGTAACCCTAGCATGAAGACTTATTATTTATTTTCTAAATCATTTTATTTATTCAAACTAGCCACTAAATATACTTTTGGCCAAGTTTTTACAATATTTTAGAATATAACTATCTGTGTAATTGCGGGTGGGGTCACCCAGCTTGTTGTGCCAAGTAAATGTGTGATTGAGAGCCATTAAAGCTATGATGAGATACAATTCATTATGGTTGGTTCATGTAGAATTGTTTTCTATGTAAGATTATATTGCACAATAAAGTCGTTAGCATTAAAGGTAATAGAATAGGTGTTATCATGAGCAAGTTTATAAATAAAAATTAAATTGTGAGAAATATGAGGGGCTCTAAAAGTAAGGAGGGTCAACTTACAATCTGGTGTGGGTAATAAATCATTACCAACTTGAGATATTTTGGTCGTTTGACCATTTCCAATTGAAATCTTGTCTTGTCCAGTGTATGGAATCAGATTATGAAGTTTGTCATTGTAGGGAGTGAGGTGAGCAGTAGCACTTGTATCAAGAACCCACACTTAGTTCTTGGTGGATAGAATGGAAGTAAGAGTAGTAACTTGATTGTTATTTGATGGCTTGTATTCTAAATTTGTGTGATACCAACATTGACAACTATATAACTTTTCTTGTAACATACTGACATATGATAAGAATTTATTTTTGTTGTTGCTGATAGAGGCAAATATTTTTGAATTGAATGAGGGTTTATACTAAGATTTGGATTTGGGAGTCTTGATTTTGTAATGAAAAAATTGTTGGGAAGGGTTCTTGAGACTTTGATTAACAAGATTGCTTTTTTCACTATGAAGTAAGGCATAAAACTCTTTGAGAGAGAAGGGTTGCAATTGAACATGAAACTTTGATTAACAAGATTGCTTTTTTCACTATGAAGGCATAAAACTCTTCGAGAGAGAAGGGTTGCAATTGAGTATGAGTTGCGGTATTGAATCCTTGATAATTAGAGGGGAGATCATTGAGAGTATATAATATGTATCTTATTTTATCAACGTTGGAGTTGACTGCTGCAATGATGCCAACCATAGTCTTAATGGTGGTGAGATGTTGCGTCATAGTACTTGTCCCCATAGTAATATTATGTAACTTAATTTTAAGATGAATAACACGAGACCTGTTGGTGGCCTGACATTATCTTTGAAGAGTAATCTGCATTTCAACAGCGTTGTTAAGGTGGAGAGCATATGGTAGAACATTTGAAGATATGATTAAAAAGATTACATCTATGAGATTTTGATCCACCAGTTTCCATAGAAAATAATCGGGGTTATCCACTTATGTGGTGGTGGAATCTTAATGAAGTGTTGGAGGGGATGGTTTGATAACATCTAAGAAGGAGTCAAATCCATTTGCAAGAATTTTTTTTTGATTTGTTCCTTCCATATAACATAATTATTATAATTAAGAGAGGAGATAATCACATTCTCGATGTTTGTCATGAAGAACTTCAAGGTGGCTGGAATGCTAGTTTCTTTCATCTTTTTGGGGAATCCATAGAATGCTGACAGACATTGTAAGAGGTGGGAGATGAAGAATTTTGGATCTTGATGCTTTGAAGCTATGACTTTGATACCATGAATGATTATTTACAAATAGGAAAAGTGTATAGAAGCAAAGAGTAAACAGTGATAATATCCTTTTTTATTATATCTTTAAGCATTACATATGGTCTGGTTTTATAGATACAGAAATGACATACTTGCAATAACTGTGAAGGGTAAAGAGGTAAACACCTAAGCTTGGTATACAATATATATGCGACAATCTTAAGAAACCCTCACAGATAATAAGATCACAACTAGCGGTTCAAAGGAGAAGATTAAGAAGGGGCATTTCAATAGAGATCGCATGTATGTTCCGCTATGTCTGACGAATGAAAAAAAGAAGGAAACTTCGATATCTATGAAGCGTGTATTAATTCTATAGGTTAAAATCTAAGCCAAAGCTAAGCTTTAGAATTTCAAATATATATAATTAAGTAATATTTAAACCCAAAAAAATCAATATATTTATATTAAAATATATGACTTCATTTTACTCAAATATAACAATCTATCTAAAATTATTTAAATAATATATATCCAAAGAAAATTTTTAAATCAATTTTGTTGCCACTAGCATGTCACCTCAAGACATTGTTGCTAAAATGACAACAATGTCAATTTAAAATATTTTCAAAAAGTGTTTATAAAAGAAATGTTTGTTATTAAAATTTTAAATATATACACACACGCGTGCGCGCGCACACACACAAACACAAACATAAATCATCTAATTTATGTAAGATTTTATTTATTAGAATGTTAAAAAGTAGTAATATTGGTATGATATGAATGATTTGGGTGATTAAAGTAAAATGTAAAATTTAAATGTTTAGGCATGCGAATGAATAGGAATGAAGTGGCCTCACAGCGGGTCAGACCGGTCAGCCACCTTACCGGTTTCCTACCCTACGGAAAACTCAATAAAACGGTCGGTTTTAATTCCGGCGAGACAACTCCGCCACCCACCGATGGGAAGATGAAAATTGAAACGTGAAAGCCCTCATCTCCATTTTCTGTGCGCCGCACTGTTCTCGCTTCGGGTATCCGATCTCGTCCTAAGGCAAGCTTCTATACCTACCTAATATAATCTCTCGCCAGCGTAATCTTTGAATCAACGAGTTCCTTTCGAACTGTCAGATCTAGCTGAGGTTGGGTGATGGAAACTTCTTCATACCTTTCTTATTCGGAATTGCTTTTGCTTCTGTATGTGATTTGGGTTCAGAATTTGGATTAGCATAGTCCAGTTTTGAGCCTATTAGATTTAAACTCCGTTTCCGGTGTAGTTTTTCGATCGTAGATGGTGTTCTATGTGATGAATTACCTTGTGCGTTGGAAATATTTGTCCTGTCGCTGATAGATTTACAGGCGTTATGATCCTTTTATGATAACAACGCTTGTAAAGTATTAAGGGCTGCGGGTATTGACTTTGCATTAAAACTCACATTGCTAAGTTTTTGGATCCAGTGATTTTAGCCATAATTTTAACGTAAATCTTGCCAAACACAAAAATGTACAATTTAAATCATACGCTCTGTTAAACTTAATACTCTTTACTTCCCTCTTTTATTCGACATAAATCCGGATTACTAAAGTCGATTCGCAGGCGGATTTACTAGATTTATTTCGCCATCGCTCGATAACTTTTCTCCGTCAAAAATGGATTTGATAAATCCGGGTTTATTAAATCCTATTTAACGTAAATTTGGGACGCAACCAAACAGTGCCTAAGTGTGATGCTTGGTATTATATATATATATATATATATATATATTGAAAAGTTTAACACTTAAAAAAATTTTCCCAGAAGATGTAAAGCCACCTTGATATGTTTGGGTCTAGCCATTCATTCTCGGTTAGCATGGTTGTGTTTGCAAATTAAATAAGCAATACAACTTCATTGAGCTTTTATGATGCTACTTTGATAAGTGGCTTTCCCTTATTATAGATATTATGAATTTTGTACATTTTCTTTTGTGCAAAGTCAATTAAGCATCAAAATGCCTTTGTTATTCTATATTCATGCTATTTAGCTTCATCAAATAAAATGTTAACGAGGTCTTGCTGTAGAGTGACATGATTAGATATTTTTATGCTATATCTACAGCTCGTGATTCTTGCTACAAGGTTGAGCATACTCTGAAAACTTACCCATTCCTCTTCTCTTTCATCAATTCCAAGTTCATTTTCTATTGCAAGGTTGAGCATACTCTGAAAACTTACCCATTCCTATTCTCTTTTATCAATTCCAAGTTCATTTTCTATAGTCATACCCTTTACTAGTCCAACTCCACTTTTGTTTGACGACATACCATCTATTGCATTTTCGAACTGTTTCACATCATTTTGTAGTTTCATTTAATTTTCATTGCTTTTGATCTTTTTAGTATTTTTTTTTTCCATTTCTTAAGGGATAATTTTAAATCAATTGACTCATTTTTTAGATATGTCGATTATTTATGTGCTAACATAGACAACTATAAGTTGTTTTGATTTTTCTATTTTATAATGTGGAGATCTTTTCTTGTGAGTTTACGCTGCTTATATGCATGAAAGATGAATCCAAGTGGACATCATTGCATGTGCTCTCTAACGTTCACTTTATATGGTGGTTTACACTTTCACTCATGGCTTATGTCTTTCTATTTTTCAGGAATTGTATTTGGATATACTATGTCTTCTGCTCAAGATCCTTTTTATGTCGTGAAAGAGGAAATTCAAGATTCTGTATGTCTGGCCTGCTAAGTTTTCATTGAATTTGTTTTATAACATACACGTCCCTGATGAAATTATGATATACTAAAGTTACACTTGTATTTCTATAAGCATGTAGACCCGACTTTTGAATGATCATGATTGTGAGTCAGTAAGTTCTATTTTATCCAACTAAACCTTGCCAAAGGTTTTTCCTGTTATTTTTGCTTTGTTTAGTCCCTGAAGTTTATTCCATCCTTTGGGGACCTAATTTGTTTGCTGTCTTAAGCTAAATGATTTATGCATGTGAATTTAGCGATTTGATTATATTTTAGAAATCTATATTAACTAAACTTACTGTTAAAAAAGGTATACATAGTTGGAGAGGTGAGGAGTGTGCATTTAGTAATTTAAACTAGAAAATTGAACCAAATTGCGTACATTTAACTGATTTGGTTCGGTTTATGAAATTGCAGGTTGGTTTTTGCTTTTTATTTTGTATTAAAATTTATTTAGATTTCAGTTTCTGGTTTGGTTTTAGAAAAGAACTTTTGTTAAATTGAAAACCAAAAATGCCATTATCTCACCTCTCTCGATCCAAATATACCAAACTACATCTTGGCATGGTGTGGTACAGTTCTACTTAGGATTTGGTTGGTTCAATTTCTTCTATAATTTGGTTTGGTTTAACAAATCTGTCAACTAATCCAACCAGAATGACTAAATGCACACCCTTAGTGAACACATTTGTGCCAAGGTATATGTGGTGCTTCTCAGTTTGTGTACATGTTCTAGCAATTGTTTACATGTTTTGTGTGCTTGCCTAAACATATGTGCAAAAAAAAGCCCAAATATGTGCCTCTATATTTATGTATGCTTGTAGGCTTATTCGTATATCTCTATTTGTGTGTGCTTCTTGGGGACAGGTGACGGGTTAGTGCAATGTATGAAGGCACATTATATGTGCATTAAATGGCATTAGGTGCTGCGTGAGAAGATCATATATCAATCAAGTGAAATTAACTCCATGTTTACCTTTTGTAGATTGACAAGCTACAAGTTGCTTTTCATGAATTGGAGCAAACACCTATTGAAACCGGGGAGCATGTTCATCTAACTAGGGGACTTATTACAAATTGTGAGAGTATTGAATGGCAGGTATTGTTTTGAATGCTATTGAAGATGTTCAGTATCTTGTTTGACATGGAGGTGATCTTTTTGTTATTCATTCATATACTTCTTTTATTTAATTAAAATATTTGGTTTTACTACAAGTGCAAGTATTAATTTTATTCATTTGTGGACTGTTCACCATTGCTACTTCAAATATTTAAATACATAATTTGTTATAATTTAATATTTGCTAAGCTGTGTTCTTGAACCTTCCATTTTTTTTATAAAAAGGTTGATGAATTAAATAAGGCTATTGCTGTGGCTGCAAGAGATCCAGGTTGGTTTGGGCTTGATGGTGCGGAGATTGAAAGGAGGAGGAGATGGACCACTTCTGCTCATAATCAGGTAATTACTTAATGGTGTATTGTTGCACTGCATGTTATATTTCTAGATTGTAGATATTACTGTTTCATTTACGTTGGTTCTGAATGATCATCCTTTTCAAGGATTTATTTTGTGATGGGCAAAGTTAATGTTTCAAGAACATGTCCTTTTATTTTAGGGAAATTTAATACACACTTAACACACCACACAATTTTTATGTCACACCCAAAACTTGATATTTACGCTTATAACACCTTGGTGTCTTAAGCATATGCATGAAAATTTGTATTTCACTTTTAAAAAGATAGTGATCGTGGTATTTTTGATGTGATGTTAAAGATTTTAGTGGTATGCATGTAAATATGAATATTTAGGTGTTACTATTAGAATATTAGAATAATAACGATTATCACTAGCCATTATTAATATATTGATTGTTGTATTATTTGTCTTTATTTTATTTTATTTGCTTTCCTATTTCCATTTATTTTGTTTTTATTTCTTTTCTAATGAGTGTCTCTTGTAATAGGATTTTTATACCTCTCTTTCTTTCAATAAGATAGACCGCTCTACTCCAATATTTCAACATAGTATTAGAGCTGGGTTCTAACCATAGATCCCAACTATGGCCAGTCTTCCCTGTAGCTGCTGCTGGCCTTCCCTGCGGTCTCCCTGCCGGCCCTTCCCCAAAGTCTCTTGTAGCCGCTGACCCTCCTGCAGCCACCAACCCTTCCCTGCAGTGTAATACAGTCGTTGGCCTCCTTGGCAACCACTCGCCTCTCCTGCAGTTACTGTCCTCCTCCAGCATGTGCAGATTTTCTTATCGGCCGTCCTTGCAGGTCCTTTCTGCTATTTTCTCTAGCACTTCTCTCACGTAGTTGTCCGGATTACCTACAATTTTATCCGTCTGTCGGTGACCTATGGCTGAAATTCGACAATGCCTCAGAATCCCACCACATCTCATTTGGCTCAGTCAGAATCGTAGAGGACTCCTCCAACACTAAGCCATCCTCAGAAAGCGTTTTTGATTCCAGCGAAGGTTTGACTCTAACCTCTTTTCCCGTGCAGATCGAAGGACCATGAACCAACTCGAGCTTCTTGCTCATAAATCACAAACTAAATGACATTAACTTTCTCCAATGGTCTCAAGCGGTGTCCTTATTCATCAAAGGACGCGTGAAATTCGGTCACCTCACAGGTATGATCCATAAACCTCTGAAGTCTGACCAGACATGTGGAGCTTGGAAAATGGAGAACTCCATGATAATATCGTGGATGATCAACTCCATGGAAGTGTCAATTGACCATTTATTTATGTTCCTTTTCTTCTGCTAGTGCCCTCTAGACTTGACGACAATCCATAATACCTACTCGAACATAGGGAATTTTGGCCAACTCTAGGAGGTGTCTAAGAAGATCCGAGTGGTAAATAGGGATCAAGAACCATTACTCATAACTATACTTGAGACTCTCCGGCCGACCTTTCTCTTCTCTCTTTCATTCATAAAATTGTAGAAAAGGATCGCATGTTCCAATTCCTGGCTGGCCTCAACAAAGACCTTGACGAAGTCTGGGTCCGTATTCTTGGTTGGGAACCTCTTCCTTCTGCTCGTGCTACTTTCACCGAGATTTGCCGTGAATAGAGACAGAGACTTGTCATGCTCAGAATTTCCACCCCTTCAATCAAATCTTCCGCCTTGAGCTCTAATAGTGTTCAACCCTCTTACATGCCATCTCGAGCAAATCACCCAACTTGTGATTATCGTCACAAACCTAACCGCGCTTGTGACAAGTGTTGAAGCTCCACAGAAAAAAATTATATACAAATCTTCGGCCAAATCCTCTGTTGTCAAGGTTTTCACTACGACATCAGATTCTATCGTGGTTCAACTAACTCCTAAATGTCAGATGCAACACTTAATCAAGTTACTTAGATCTAATCAGTTCTCTGCTGGCCCGTTGACTGCACACGTCCGCCAAGGTACTTTTTCTATAACACTCACGTCTTTTGCCTTCTCTAGTTTGTGGATCATTGATTCAGATATCATGGATCATATAACTAGATGCTCACAAGCTTTCTCGACATACTATTCATGCGCTAGAAAAGTTACGTTCAGAATTGCAGATGGGTCCCATAGTTCCACTGTTGGTAAAGGATCTGTTGTTCTAACGACCGATCTAACTATGAAATTTGTGTTAAATTTATCACCTGTAAAGTGTAACCTTTTATATGTCAGTAAGTGGACATATGACATTGCTCATTTCTTTTCTAACATTTGTGCTTTTCAGGATAATCATTCGGCCAAAATGATTGGTACTGCTAAGCGCGTAGCCGGATTCTACTACGTCACTGAGAGCAATGACATAGCACTCAATAGTTGTAGTTTTTCTTGAGTCACTGAATGTTCCATTGTCGTTTGGTCATCATAGTTTCTAATATTTAAAGCATTTTTATCCATGCTTTTTAATAAAAGTCTTTATAGTTTTAATTGTGAGACATGTCAATTAGCCAAACACATTGGGTTCAATATTCACCCCACACTTACATACATTATGCTTCTTTTTCACTTATTTACACTGACGTATGGGGACTTTCTCGCACTGCCAACTACACTAATAAACGATGGTTTCTTACTTTGATTGATGACTACACTCGGATGGTGTGGGTCCATATTTTAAAAGACAAATCAGAAGATGCTGTCACTTTCCAAAGCTTTTACACCTTCATCTTGACCCAATTCAAAACTACAATTTAGGTCCTTCAGATTGACATTGACCGTGAATTTTTTAACTCTATTTTAGGTGAATTCTTGGTGAGTAAGGGCATCCTTTACAATAGCTCATGTGTGGACACTCAACAAAATCGGGTAGCTTAGAGGAAAAACTGGCATCTCCTCGACGTTATTAGTTGTATCATGTTTCAATCTAATGTCCAGAAATATTTTTGGAATGATGTCATACTGAATGCCACCTATTTTAGAAATAGTCCCCTCTAAAATTTACAACTTTCGAACCCACTTAGCCATCTTGATGTTATGCTTTTTTGTTAATAGGGTCTTTTCCACTTAAGAACCCAAAATATTTGGGTGCATAGTCTTAGTTTAGAACATTGCCCCCACTCAGAGTAAATTTGATTCTAGATCCATGAAATGTCTTTTTAGGGTACCACCACCACTCAAAATGAGTATCAAAACCTTGATCGTATCACAAACAAAATCTTTGTGAGTGATGATGTCTCATTTTTTAAAAATGTTTTCTATTTTCCATACTTGACCTTAAGTGAGTGGGAGTTAGAGTTCTTGGACACTATTCTTTATCATACTCTTTTGGATGTTCCACCAATTGTTCTTGCACCGAGGAATCCCCGGTTCCTGCTGTTCCACCACCTCCTCATCCCATTCTCCGTTTCTACACTCAACACACTCGTTCCAATGCCCTCATTCTGGAGCCTTTTACCTTTTTGCGGGACCTTGAATCCACTCCTAATGACATCCCCAATACTATTACTCCCAATGAGAAGGCAAATTCCTCGAGTTAAGGTAGTCAATCAGGCATGCTCTATCTATTCCATGGCAAAATATATCTCTTTCTGCAGTTTATCGTCGACCTACAGAGCATTTTATTCTGCCCTTACGGTTCAACAGATCCCAACTACTATTGAGGCTGCACTAGCAAATCTGGCCTGAAAAATTGCAGTAATGGAGATGAATGCCCTTTGGCGGAGCCATACATGAGACTTCGTAGATATTCCTCTGGATAATAAAATAGTAGGATGTCGATAGGTTTTTAAAATCAAGTTTAACTCAGCTGGATCTTTTGAACGCAACAAGACACGGTTGATCCCCAAAGGATGCCCACAAATCTACGGAGTTGACTATGAGGAAACATTTGCTCCGATAGCCAAATTAATTACCATTCGAATCCTATTATCTTTTGCGGTGGATCTGGATTGGCTCTTATTGCAGCTCGATATCAAGAATGCATTCCTGAACGAAGATCTTACAGATGAGGTGTACATGTCCTTTCCCCCTTGTTTTAACTCTACTGTATTCCAAGAGCAATTGTGTCGGTTGCGAAAGTCCCTCTCTGGACTAAAGCAATTCCCACTAACCTGGTTTGGCAAGTTCACGAAAGTAGTAGTGGGCCATGGTTTTACTTAGGCTCAATCAGATCACTCTCTTATTCCAACATTCATTCAATGGCCAGATTGTTATTCTTAACGTTTATGTCGACGATATTGTGTTCGCAGAAAACGATCTACCGATATTGGAGTCTTTGAAAGACATTCTAGCTGTGCCCTTTGAAATGAAGAATTTGATATTCCTCCGATACTTCTTAGGTATTGATGTTACTTGATCATCTCGGGGCATTTTCCTGCCTCAGCGCAAATATGTGATTGACCTTTTAACAGAGAACAATTTGTTTCTGTGCAAATCGATGGCTATCCCAATGGATTCAAATGAAAATTTATCTGATGTTCCCAATGTTGTACCTGTTAGTAAGACTCATTACCAGCACCTTGTGGAGAAACTTATCGACCTTGTCATACACACCCACGTATGCCACACGGTTGGTATAATAAGTCAATCAATGCATGCCCCCTTTGAGCACCATCTCTACGCTATCCACCAAATTCTCCACTATTTAAAGGGTACACCGAGCTTGTACTTGTTTTTCTCGCACCACACTTTTCGTTCTATTGTTGTTTATACAGATCCTGATGGGTCGTCAGTCCATGATCGACGATCTACCTCAGGATACTAATTCGTATGGGAAAATCTTGTCATGTGGAAAATAAAAAAGTAGTCTTTGATTGCCCGGAGCAGTACTGAAGTTGAGTTCTGATCCATGTCCTTGGGGATCTGTGAAGCTCTCTGGTTACGCATCATGCTTTGTGAATTACATATGTCGACCTTCGGCCCTATGCAATTGTTTTGTGGTAATAAGACCGCTATTAGCATTGCCTAGAACCCGGTCTAGCATTATCAAGTCCATGATCGACGATCTACCTCAGGATACTAATTTGTATGGGAAAATCTTGTCATGTGGAAAATAAAAAAATAGTCTTTGATTGCCCGGAGCAGTGCTGAAGTTGAATTCTGATCCATGTCCTTGGGGATCTGTGAAGCTCTCTGGTTACGCATCATGCTTCGTGAATTACATATGTCTACCTTCGGCCCTATGCAACTGTTTTGTGGTAATAAGGTCGCTATTAGCATTGCCTAGAACCCGGTCTAGCATTATCATACCAATCATGTGGAGATTGACAGACACTTCATTAAGGAAAAAACTAGAGTCCGGGAAAAATTGTGTTCCTTTTGTGCCCTATAGTGGCCAACTAGTGGATAACCTCACAAAGAACCTTCATTGACCACTGTTCCATGATTTTAAATCTATGTTGAATACGATTGACATCTTTGCTTCAAGTTGAGGGGGATTATTAGAATATTAGAATAATAGCGATTATCCTCAGCTGTTATTAATATGTAGATTGTTGTATTATTTGCTTTTATTTGTTTTTCTATTTTCTTTTATTTTGTTTTTATTTTTTTTCTTATGAGTGCCCCTTATAATAGGGTTTATATACTTCTCGTTCTATTAATAATATAGGCTCCTCTACTCCGATATTTTAACAGTTACATTACATATGTAAATACATAAGAATTGTGTTTATGTATGTAAATGCCCCATTATTTTAATGAAGACATTTTAACTCCAATCCAACACTGTTGTCTTCCTTTATTCATTATCAAGTAAGATTGCCTATAGTCCTGACAGTTGATGAATTAAATAGGTAGCTGCTGTGAGAAAAGCTGTGGAGGCTGGAAAGGAGAAGAAGAGTTTTTCTCACAATGGGGCACGCAAAGAACTGATGAGGCTTCCAAATGAACGATCAAATTACTACACCCCAGATAGTGACGATTTCATCAGTTCTGAATCAGATCGGCAGATGCTTCTTAGAAAGTAAATTTTATTTCCATTTTGTTGATCCGCCAGTCATTTATCAACTGATATTTTTGCTAGCTAATAATAGGATACAAGGTTCTGAGATAATCCACATACTTTTGTCCCTGCTGATGCTAGCCCTGCAGTGGTTGTTCTTTGTAATGTGTAATGTTATTTTACTTCAGGCAACAAGATGAGGAGTTGGATGAACTAAGCGTAAGCGTTAAGAGAATTGGAGGCGTAGGGCTTACCATACATGAAGAACTTGTTGGACAGGTAATAAAATCAATAATCATTGGAGGTTGTATCAAATTTTCCGCCAGCATTTTCCTCTCCAAATAATACACTCTTGCTGTAATAACCAATCATACAAAATAAAATAAATCTGGAAATTAAGATTAAACAACCATTTTTGTGTGTTATTTTTCTCAACAGCTATTACATGGATCAAAACATAGTTAGCGAGGTCTTAGATTTTGAGCCTGGTTTGGAATAAGTACTGTAATTAATGAGATGTTTCTCTTTGCTGTTCAATAGGAGAGGATCTTGAATGAACTTAGCATGGAGATGGAAACGACAGCGAACCGGCTTGAGTTTGTTCAGGTTAACTCTTTCATTTTATATATTCTTGTAGGGGCATTTACATACATACCACCGAATTCCTATATATTTTGTCTTTTACATTTCTAACACCTAAATTTTATATTTCACATAAAAAACACAATTGCAACTCTTAAAAAATGAAATACACCTTTTTCATGCATAGTTAAGGTGGTTTGGATGTAAGAAATGAAGTTTACGTGTTAGACAAGTACGAGGATAGGAATTGAGTGGTATGTACGTAAATCTTCCGTTCGGGTAATGAATAATTCTCCAATTTTATGATCCTTTAATCTGGTAGATGTGCTATAAGCAGTTTATGAACGCAGAAAAAAGTTGCTATGGTTATGAAGAAGGCAGGAGCGAAGGGGCAAATCATGATGATACTCTTCTTATTATTTCTTTTAATCATTTTTTTTGTCTTGCTATTCCTCACATAATAGGTGCAGGCCATTTCTTTTTTATTTTTCCCCTTCCTTGGAAAATCATCCAAACTTCAATGAAAAAATATATTTGTTTGCATCATGTTGTAAAATGTGGTTTTTGAAGCTGTGGCAGTCATGGTTAGGATTGCATGCATGGTATGCCCTTTGGTCATAAAGTTATAGTGTGCCAGTGAATGGATGTGGGTTACAGCCATCCAAACTTGAATGAAAAAAACTTGTTTGTATCAATTTTGGGCAAAACTACCGGATGGTTGGGCGTCTTCTAGCCATCATTTTGGGGCAAAACTACCTTGTGAGTTATGCAATTGGTACCATTTACAGTTCGGATTTTTTTCTTTAAGTTTTTATTTTTTTTAATTATTTGTTTGAAAAAATAAAATATCAACAGAACTTTAGTCTAAGGCTGTTTTCCCCCATCTGTAGGAGCGATTATTGCGTGCGGAGGGCGCACGCAAAGCTGCGCGCGCCCTCACCGCGATGTGCGGCTGTGATCGGAGGGCGCGTGCAGCTCTGCGCGGGCGGCTCTGCGTGCGCCCTCCGCACCTAATAATTAGACCATCTGTAGATTTATATATCAATATATAATTCAAAGTATTCAAACTTGGCTGAAAAAGGAAAGCAGTGTGCTTGAAATATAATATATTTGAAATACTGAATTTGTTTATTTCGATGTAAAATAGATATATCTTTGAATTGAAAAAATAAAAAAAAAATATATAATCAGTTTAAAATATGCTGATGGGCGGCGGCGGCGACGACGGGCTGAGTGCAGGCAAAAGGCAATGATTGGCGGCGGGCTACAACTGGTGGTTGGTTGTTGGCAAGAGAAACAAAGATGATGAGCAATAGTTTATAATGTGGTTAGAAATAGCCCAAATAGTATCTTATTATTTTTATTGATTTTAATCGATTATATCAACTTAGGGATCTTTAGGCTGCATGTATTTAGACTCCAACATTTTAAAAATTCAGTATAAAGTAGGAATATTTACAAGCATGCCACATAATTATGATGTATTTAACTAACACCCAAATTTTAATATTTACATGCAAAGCATTCAAATTTTTTACAAAAAAAAAAAAATGTTACTAATCACTTCTTTAAAAGTGAAACATGCTTTTACACGCATACATTTATGTCATAAAATATTATAAATGGAAATATGAAATATTAGGTATTAGATGTATAAATATATAATAATTATGCAATATGTATGTAGATATTCAAATAATCATGAATTGAAATATTTTTCGATTTAGTTATTAATAAATAAAAAATAAAATTATGGTTAGTTCTATGTAAAGCAATACAAATAAAAGAATTTTATGTTGGTGGCCAGTGGTGGTTGGTTGTTCGGAATGATAGTGGGTGAATTTTAAGAATAGTCTAATTATAAATTAAAATTAATATTTTTATTTAAATTAAAAAAAAATTATTATTACACTAAACCGTGATGATATGTCATGATTTATTCCATAATGTGAAACCATCTCAAATTTTTTTTGTTTTAAAATTTTATTTATCTAATTTTAATTATTTTAATGAAATTAAATTTCTTAATTTTCTATTGTTATGCGAAGTACAGATTCATAGTTTTTTTTTTTAATTTATGGATGTTTTATAACTTTTGCCAAACATTTTTATTCTAGAAAATATAGGAAACAATGATGCATGTAGATGGGAATACAAACACAATACGGTATAATGTGGTGGCATGTATTTTAATATTTAATAAATTATTAATATTAAAATATACATTTTCACTTTTTTATTGAATATATCATAAAATAAAGTATACAAGAACAACAACAACAAGCCTTAATTCCACTAAGAGGGGCCAGCTACATGAATCATTTTCTCTGTTGAGTGCTGAAAATTTTATTTATCTAATTTTAATTATTTTAATGAGATTAAAGTTCTTAATTTTCTATTGTTATGCAAAGTACAAATTCATAATTTTTTTTTTAAATTTATGGATGTTTTATAACTTTTGCCAAGCATTTTTATTCTAGAAAGTATAGGAAACAATGATGCATGTAGATGGGAATACAAACACAATAGAACATAATGTGGTGGCATGTATTTTAATATTTAATAAAATATTAATATTACAATATACATTTTCACTTTTTTATTATATATATCATAAAATAAAGTATACAATAACAACAACAACAAGCCTTATATCCACTAAGAGGGGCCAACTACATGAATCATTTTCTCTATTGAGTGCTAGAGTCCCAGCACTTTCCTTCCTAACATGATATATATATTCTTCCTGTCACATCTCAGTTCGAATATAACTCCCCCGTGGTAACTTGAACTGGTATAGTCCTTTCTTTCAATCGTAATATCCTAAATGGTTGCCATCTTCTACACTGTTGTTACCTTTTTGAGTCAGATGTGAGCCTCTGTGCATTCCATCTCGATTCAGTCCTCCCACACAATCCTATTCTCCGAAATTATCAATTTTAAAATCAAAATTAAACACTGAATTTGGAATCGAGTCCCTGCCTCAATCGTCAGTTTTCTCTAGGGTCGTTTGCGGAGTCTCTTTGTTTTTTTTCGAGCAGAGAGTATCTGTTGCTCCCCAACGGAAACAATTGTTACTTTATTCTACACTATTTCTGGGTTTGTTGATGACAACGACTTTATATATGCTTAAAAATATAAGTATTTAATACTGCTGCTAAAAGATTTAATTTTTCAGCAACTGCACAAAAAACTTAACAACAGTTATAGATTCGATAAAGATGTATATATATAATATTCAATAATTGTAAAGTCACACTTATCAACGCAAATATACGTATCGCTCAAGTAATATAGAACTATAATGGAGTCCTAGATATCGATCCCACAGGGAGTAATATTAGAACTACGAACTAAGATTTTAGAAAATCAATACTTAATCACAATAACGTAATTCAAATTGCTTATCTGTCACTAATAGACAATTGAAATAAATATGTAATTTTGATAACTCTTAAATAACTAATTATACTAATAAAGTTTTTAATGTGATATTCAATATATAAGAAAGCATTATTCTCCTTGTCAAGAAATTATAGTGAATGGATAAAGTAAATCAGTTCAAATTGTATTGTGTCAAATAGGAGCATACATATTATTTACCTTTTGGTCCAGACATAAATAACATTAACTAATCCTACGCTTGTTTACTGAATCTGCAGCTAGGCTGGGAGGATA